AATTGATAAGATTCAAACAAATTTTAAAGTTTTATTTCAATTTATAAGAAATTTAGAGTTGAACTCAGGGTTAGATGCAATAGATTGCAAATGCAAGGCATAGTGGGAGATAACACTGAACAAGTGCTTAATCTTTTTCTTTTGCTCTCATGTACATGGATGAGCTACTGATTTAAATACATTCATTGAAAGAACATCATGAGCCTATTGTAAAAGAAAACAGACGCAGCATATTAGTAAAATATTCAAATAATACCAGATTTAGAGAAACTGTAAACATTAGAATGGGCTGAGAAATAACTGTGAAAATGCAATCCCTGAATAAGAGATAAATTATTCAATGTTCTGGCAAGGAAGTACATATGATGCAAGCTTGGGGTTGTAGGTGCAGAAGGTAGTGATCAAAATTGGCCATTTTATTGATAGTCAGGACCCAGTTATTATATTTGGAAAACATGGACAGACTAGAAAATATGTGCAGAACTAGCACTTCATATAGTACATTAGTAGAGGCATGAATGGGGAATGTCATTTTCTTCAAACCCTCAAAGAACAGAAGTCCTCCTGCAGAGAATTCAAGGTAAATGCCAGCAAATACTTGGTGAACTCCAACACTGAAGAGTGAAGTGAATTGTTAAACAGGTGCAAAACAGAGACTATCAGGTTGTAGTCAGGAAAGAGAAATTCTTCTAATCTGTTGATGGTGAACACTATGAGACTGCAAAGATGAAGGCAGTGAAATATTTTTTTCACATAGAGAGTAATTTGGTATAAATGCACAGTTGAGATCAGATTTGTTTAGGTATGGAACACAACTAGATGAATCAATGGTATGTGCTCCCCATTTTTAGCATCTGTAATCTCACTCCTTCAAAACTATTTCATTATAGGAAAATAGATAGCAATCTCTCCTTTGATATACTTTTTCAGGGTACTCCAGGGGTGAAAAGCCACCATGCTGAGCTGTCAGAGTCCTGGATAAAACCCTTCCTTCACTGTGCATGGTGTGCAATGGCAGGCCATGACACGGGCTGCAATGGTAATTAGGTTTTATAGCATGAGTATTTTTGCCTTTTTACAATCTATTGCCAGACTGTACTATTTTAAGAGGTGAGCATGTGCCTGTTGAGGCTTGATCTGAGCTCACTAGCTGGGGTCTTGCACGCTACCAACAGCTGACAGAACAGAGAATTTAGCTCCAGTCCTGTACTGAATTTCATGCAAGCAGCCCCTGAACACTGTTTATGGATGTGCCTCCACGGATCTCACTCTGGGGGACTCAAGCAGGCACCAGATTGTTCTCTATACCTGTTTTTCACTGTGTGTGAAGTGAGGTAGTCCATCTTTGTAGCTGGAGCAGGCTGCTGGCTTTCTGAGGAAATGCTATGTTGCCAGGATCCTTGGAAACACCAGAAAGGAATGACAATGCTTCTATGTATTTTCTTGATTTTTTCCTTTGAATTGTTTTCCCAAATGATAAATTTAGATACCAATATCCTGCAGTACATGCACTCTTTCTGGCTCATCTTTGTCAATGCTTTCCATTCCTGATTGCAGGAGCAGGCAAGGCAGGCTCCCCCAAGGCAGAGCTTCCTTTGGGGTGATGATAATGCAGAAATCACCAGAGGGGAGGGAGAACACAGCAGCCTCTATCTCAGTCCTGGTATGCCTGGGATTCCTTGTTGCCTGAAGCTCCCAAAATCGAAGGCTGGCTTGATCCCCTCCTGCTGTTCTGTCCCACTTACTGCAAGCATTTTCTCACAGCAAAGTTTTGTGAACTATGAATAACAGTCCCAATTTTGGGGACTATCAGATTCTATAAATTAGTCAAAAGTCCTCCTTTTTATTTTTTTCCTATACGGAGGCCAGCATTATTTCAAGATCATGTCAGGACAAACCTGACCATTTCAGACAATTTCTTTCCTATCTTTGAGATGCTCCAAAGATGCTCTGTGGCCAGACAGCAGTAGAAATGTGCATGAGGGATGCAATGTTCTGGTTTGGACAGTGTTTCCAGCAGTCTAGGAAAAAGTGAGATCTATGTCAAGTCTTCAGGTATAATTTCAGTATACTTAGCTGATATAAACCATCTTAAAATGACAGCACTCTCCTCAGTTTTGTAGATCATCACCAGGACTTTCAAGTGGGTGTCTATATGCATCTCCACTTGAACTGATTAAGAAAACCCCAAAACTGTGTTTCTTGATAGTCATTTCCTTTACACTTCCCTTTGTAGTTTCCATGCTTTTACTGTTGCCATGTCTTTAAAAAGATCCTTTTACAACACAACATATTAACAGAAAACTCTTGCACATGTTAGTTCCTTTGAACACTAAATGTATCTTCAGTTCAGCATAGTTACTGTAACTCGCTTGACATGGTTCAACTTCTAAATAACTTGGAACTTTGAGAAAATTAGAGTAAGGAGCTTTTTTAAGCATAGGTGAAGTAGTCTGTGAAAAAGGAATAGGGATGCCAGTTTTTATCAGATGGTTCAGGAACTGCTGCCTGATTACCTCTGGGTTCATTAGAAAGGATGTATCTGTTCTGAGTCTCGGGTAACTTCACCTTACCAGACTTGAGAAGGAACTACTCTGACCCAGTGAAAACTGACCTGACTAAGCCATGGACAAAAGACAAAAACCATAAAACATAAATGCTATATTTTATTACTTTACACTGAGGGATTTGAAAACCCAGGTTAAAGCCTGAGGTGGTTGCTCTTTGAATTCAACTTGTTAGAGCAATGGGCTTGAACTGAGGTTCTGAAGGACTCGATAGAAAGATGGGAAAAGTTTCTGTCAAGAGTTTTTCCCTTTGTACTGTCTTACTCTTGCAATAGTACAGTAGTAACTCTGCTCAGATGGCTTACACATTCAGCTTGTGTCTTTGAAAAAGCTCACTGTGTTGTCATGAGCAAAACAGGAAACGTGTAATGGTATGATCCCCAGAGGAGCCCATCCAGGGCAAACTCTTCTGACCTTGTGGAAAACACATCCAGCCCAAACTCACAGTCAAATGGAAACATACAAGTTAACCACAGAAGTTAAGAAATATCCTCATCATTAAGTTGTTTTAACATGGAAAGTCTCTACATGAGCAGCTGAGCAATGAATAACACAGCCTGCAAGCTGATGCCACTGCAACTCTCTTCATCTTGTTTTCCTTTTTCTTAGAAGCAATATTGTGCCCCAGCTTGTTTTCATTTTGCAAGCAAAGTGGTATTTTGGAGTGAATTATATACTTTCAGATTTACACACTATTAGATATTGTTGCTTTCAAAGAGTAAGCAAAATGTAAATAGCAAGAAGAGGGAGACATAATTCAAATGAATCTTAGCAGCAACAGCTAGATCGTTATTTAAAACTAAGATTTGATTGAGAACAGATATTTTGGTCCAGAAATTCTCTATTCTGCACCAGACCAGTTCTCTGCTCTATGTAGTTTTCCATGTGTAAGGGTAAACTCTTGCCCTGCAAAGGTAGAATAACAGGATCCAAACCCTGTTCTGAGCAATAACTGAGGCTATGTTCCTTGAAATACATAGCCAAGATTTATTTCATATTAAACTGGAATTAGGTGAGGAGCATAATATTTGAAACCAAAACAGCTACATTCTAGTTTTAGAAGCTAATGGCTATAATAATTGTTTTTGAAGGGTCTGGGAATAGTTTTAAAATTAGAAAACCTGTAAACTGTCACAATTTTATATATTCCAACTATAAAGCCTACTACATAGAGATGTATTAAATATTTGTGGTCAGACTAGTATTAATACCTTCTTTAAAATTTTGGTTATTTCAGTAGCATGTGTCTTCACCTACTGATTGAAACAATATTACTTTAGCAGTCTTTCTGTTAAATACAAAGCTGAAGTTATTCAGTGCGACATAAACATTTATCTCTACAGTTTAGTCTGTAAACACTTAAAAGGTTGGAATGTTTATCTAAAATGGCCAGACGTCCAAAACTTGCAAAGCTGATCTGTTTGCAGTGTTAAAAGAATTAGAAAACAAAGAACTTGACTCATCTGAAAATGAAGAATAAAAAAATCTCAATTTTACTCCCCTCAATAATTAGGCTCAATTTAGGTGCAGTTCTGAGTTTCCTTGGCACTGATTTACTGATCCTGAACTCCTTTTAAAAGATAATTGGTTGAGATTAGGACTGCTGCTGGAATCTCAGTGTAAATCCGGGCCCAGTAAAAGGATGAAAGGGGATGGAACAGATGCAGGTAATACTGGTTTTAATTTTTATTTTTCTGAAAGACTCACTGGGATATATCAGGCTGAGAAAACCCACAGGTTTAGGAGTGCTTCATGAGCACTTCAGTCTTGACTACTGTAAAAATGGCAATTTCTGTGAGAAAGAAGGAGCTCCTTTCACACAGATGTGATTGTAACCTCATATTTTTGTCCTTATGCTACTGCTAGGAAATCACCAGACCTATTTGCTGCTCAGTTCTTGGTTTGATTACTTAATATTTCACAAAACTGTAAGCTCTGGCAATACACTGTAGTTGTAAAGTGTTTACTTTGATGTAATAAGTATAATGCTGTTTCTGCCTTTTTAAAAATTCTCCCTTAAATGCACTGAAATGCTATGTCCAAGCTAATCTGGAACATGATGCATGTCATTATCACATCAGCTGTTGAAATCCTTTCATCAAGTCATAAGGGAACTGACCACTTCAAGTAAGGGGTAAGCAGCAGAAACCATAATGATTCAAACAGTGACTATAAAATACTATATTAATATTTTCATCGTTCACAAGAAAGTTTGGTTTATTCTGTGATGAAAAGGCAAATGAAGTTCTGGAGGTCTTACTGTATACAAGTTAGTTTGGTTGGGATTAAAATTATATGATCCTTTAAGGAAATCACAATGTAAAAGAAAATCTTGGGGTTTGGTTGGTTTTTTTGTTTGTTTGAGGGGGGATGGAGGGGATGTTTTGGTTTGTTTTGGTTTCTTTTTAATTATTTTTTTTCTCCAAACCACAGCCTGAATAGTTGCTATTTCATGAGCTATGACTGTAACAACAGGAAAGAACTCAAAGGAGTTTTACAGTTAAGTATTGATTTGCAGTCATAAGGGAACTATATGTTTATCTGGCATAATTCTTCTCAATATATTTAAGAGTAATTACTCTGATAGATATTTCATAGCTCTGCCCATAGATATAATTGCTGTAATAACACAAACGACCGCTTGAATCCTCCAGTGCACTTCTAGTGATTGGATGTCTGATATTACCCCATGTTTTGATTTGCTAAATACCCCGAGGTGACTGTTTTGCAAACCTTTTTCATCCTTGCTATTAGTGCAATGAAAGCTGCTCAGCAGGGGCACCGTCACTCCGACAAAGCTTTGGTAGACAGTAAGAGGACTCCCTCTGTTGGCAAATCTATGGGTAACTGAGAGAGAATGAGAATTGCTGTGTGCTTGTATCTTCCTGGGATACTTGAATTTTGTGAAATCTCTGCAATTTGATCGATGATGTTGTGCTTCAACAAACAAAAGTAACTAGCCACAATCTGCAGCTGAACTGTAAACTCAGACACTTTAATTATTCTGGTCTATTTACATCTGAGCATCATTGTTAAATTTTTTCTCTTACCCCATTTTTGTGTTCTCTGCTGTATAAGCAAACTAAAATTGAAGGAAGCAGGAATATCAGTGGATCATATTTATGAGTGTTAAGTATTTCTCAGATGAAATAGTACAACTATTTTAAAAAAGAAAAATGCTTTTCCATATTTTAGGAGAGGGCTCTGACTCATCATAGAATGTTTTAAAATAGACTGAAACTCTGAATCAAATGTTAGCACTGAGCTGTCATTCCTTTGTGCTTTGAGCCAGCTCAGATAATAGGCTTTGCTGACAGCAACTGCTTTGTAGAAAACAACAATTTCTTTCTTTTTATTACTTCTAAATATGAGTATGAAAGTCTAGTTCAGGATGCAATGAGGCTCCCTTCCTTAACACTTCAATCAAAAGCCGTTTGCTGTGTTCAAAATAAGGATAAGAGTTACAAAACAAAAAACCAAAAGCAAACCAGAAAGCATTTGAGGCCAGCTGTAATCACCTAGGATGGAGGGAGCTGGAGAAAGAAAAGAGATTTCCCTGGCAAGGGTGGATGACCATGGCAGTGGAGCCTGTGTTTTGCAGAGCTGCAGGGGACCTGTGCCATGAGGCCACCCGGGGCTGCAGTGCTGTGCACTCCCACAACACCAGGAGACTCCTGCTCCCTGCAGCTGGAAGGCGAGCAAAGGAGCATGTGCTGATTCACAGTTCAGCTGGGTGGGCAATACTTGTTGGAAGAACGCTTACTTAGCTCTAAATTTGCCTTCTTCCTTTTACACAAACCCTGCCTGGTTGCTGCCAATACCAAGAGCACAAATCTGACTCTATTCAGTTTCAGTTAAATACTGTGTTGTCCAGCTCTCTCAGGATCTGTAGTCTGTGGTTAGGGTGCTTACCTGCAAGCAAGGCTGGGCTGTGACACCTATGAAAGGCAAACTTTCAGTGCTTGCTTTTCTTAATAGTTGCGAAATATTTTGAGCAATCTTGCTTAAAAGGTCATCTGTGCTAAAGATGGCTTGAATGACATGGTTTTCCTTAAATGTGGAAAAGGCTCCTGGTGAGTCAGGGCTGAGTCATGGGAAGATTATGCTGCTTCTCTGTATGAGACTTGGTGTATTGTGTCCAAGAGTTCTGTCCCAAAGAGCTGTTTTGCCACAGCAGGAGGCATGGTTTGAGGAAGTGCTGACCCATATCATTAGTGAGGTGAAGAAGCCCCAAACACCTCGCTGTGCACAGATGACCCCCACAGGCATTAATTATCAGAACCTCTGAAAAGCTACACTTTTAACTGCAATTTGAACTGGTTTTTTTGTGGTCTTGAGAATTTTTTATTAAGCCTTTCAATTCTGACTAATAGTTACAAAGAAGTCTAGTACATGTAGGATATTTATGTAGCCCTCTTAGTTTTTATCATCACACTGAGAATTGATTAATGGTATTTATTTCCAGTGTTAAGGAAGAGAATTTGAAGAATGAACAGGCTGAAGTCACATATTAGGCCTATAGTCAGCTAAAATTACCCAGACCTTGATGTTTACTGAGTGGTTGTATTTTCAGCTCCATGACTGTTTTGATGTATTTAATACACATATAAGCTATAGGCACTCCTTTGTTCACAGAATTACCACACAAATATGAAAGAGGGGCATATAGCAGATGAAGGAAAAGAAGAATAGTTCAGTATGTGTATTCTGACATAGGATTTAAAGGTGAGGAGAACAGAACAGAAGATAAATGAGAGGGTTCAGTTCTAATGAATAGGACAGTAAAGGTAAAAAGCTGTGGATTCATGACCTGATAGGAGGACCTAAAAGGTGTCAAACCAGAATCAAGGCTAAATGGAGCTTTGTGAGTGACTCCAAATCCCACCTTTTTCTATTAGGAGTACAACAGAAGCATTGCTGTGAGACAGAAGTATGAACAGTTACATCAGAAGTGAAGGAGTATAAGAATTGAGATATTTCTTTCCCAAATCCTTTCTCAAACTTTATGGTGTAATGGGCACACCTGCTCTGAGTCAGTGGTACACCATTTGTTGGCATCACCAGCAAATGGGCTTGGCTGGAGCCAGCCCTACTGTGCAAACCTTGAGGAATTATGTGAAGCTGTAGCTCTTCACCTGAAGAGTTTGGGCCTTACTGGGAAATAACAGGACCAGCCTGAACTGAGACCAGACATATCTAAAACTTCTGTGGCTCCCACCAGAGAGGAGTTTGACTACAAGCCAATCGCTTTACACTACAGGGACAGTCCAAGTGGCAGTGGCTGCACAGTGGTGATGTCCCCTTGAGCAGGGGTGCCTCCCAAGGCCACTCCTCAAGACCAAGAGATCCCTTGCCTGGCATCTGAAATCTACAGCAAGGTAAGTGACACCTGGTGTTAAATCTAAAGCGTCCTCTACACAAGCTAGCTTATTTATTACAAGTGTGGTAAGTAATAGAGTGTTTGACCACCTTGTTGTCATTGTTTAGTAGCTGTTTAATCATCACTGTTAAATCACTCTTTAATAAAACTTTTTGCTTAACCCTACAATAATGGCTTCTATTAATATCTTGAAAACACTTTGATACTGCTGAATGGCCGAGTTGCTTTTGCTCTCTACTTCCTGGAGGAGTAAAAAATTAGGTAGGTAGGTATTTGTGTTTGCATCATATTAAGTTCCACCCAGAAACTTTGCAGGACTGGAACGTCATTTACAGTGATGATGCAATCAGCTCAGAATGGTATTACAAATTGCCACAGCTGACACATAGGGATGAATGGCTCCTCCAGAATGCATTCAGATGGGGTTCCCATTCAATCAACTGAACTGCATTCAGCAGTACTTAAAAATACTAGCAGATATTTATCTATTTCCCCATACTGGGAGCTTAAACTCTGTAAGTGAAGTGTGTGTTCAGTCTGTTTCTGTGAGTTCCTTTTCCTGTTGGCTAACTCTATTACTTTAAGTTAAATGTTGACTGGAGTTCAGAATTCAATTTTACACAAGACACAATGCAAAACAGAAAATCTAAACAAATGGTAGAAAACCTGATCAGTAAAGGGGTGGACTAGTGACTTCTATGAGTGCAGGTGGTGAAGTGTCAGCCCACAAAATCAGCCAGGTATGCCCACCAAGCAGGAAAACACAGAGCTATCCAACTGTAACATTTCAAGAGTTTAATGAGAAGTTTCTGTTAATACAAAATGAAAATGAAAACACTTCCACCTGTCATTCCTTGATGAAAATGTTTATTTCAAGGCTATACTCTGCTGCATGTGAAGGGTAATGGTTTACATACAGATGCATGCTCAACACTCCAATTCACTCTTAATTTGAGTGCTTTTAGTAGCAATGGAAGATGTTCAGATTGACAGCCTCACAGATCAAAGCTCACAGCATGATGGTTTGGGGGAAAATGTGAGATATAGGCAAGAAAATAATTTCAATTTTTTTTTTATGGTAGAGACCTACCCAGGTCTAAGGCAGATAGTTTGATAACATAGTTTGTACAGTCCATCACAAGTTCTGGCCCAGTTATGAAATGGCTGTAGTGTTGCATTCCTCAGCGTACAGCAAGTTGATCCCTAGGCTGTATTACCTTTATTCCAGACTAGTGGCAGAGCAGACATTAAACATTGCAGTCTCCTGTTGCAACAAAAATGCACTGAGGAAACTAAGCTGGAGTGCAGAGGTCATTTCAGCTAAGCCTGCCTCCAAGCAATGGATTTTAAGCAGTAAAATTTTCTCAGGAGTGTAACACAGATTGAGGATAGTGCTGTTATCATCAAACACTTGTTATCTGCAAGTCTGATACGCTGGCATATACAAAGAACCTGTGGAGGAACAAGCAGGGGAGGCAAATCCAAATACATGATTTTGTCCTGCAGGGATCTGGTTTAACTGAAGGCCCAGTTATGAAGAAGGAAAACAGGTGCATAGAAGAGTTGCAAGCTGATGGAGTTAGAAACCATGTGCAAAAAAAAAGTAAGTATAAAATCTACAGAATGCTCAGGAGCAGTGAAAAAGCAAGGAGGGAAGATAAATGTCTTGTGGCTAAAGCAGAGTGAAAGGATTCAGGCCAATGTCTTTCTAAAATCTCCATCAACCAATATGACTGTAAAAAAAGTGAATTACAACTCAGCATGACTGAGAGAACATCTTTTCTCATAAGAGAGTGAGTTACAGATGAGGTATATCAGCTCATTAGGGCTCAAAATGAATGTAGGCTGTGTGTGTATGTGCACCTTCAGAGATCTGGACCTGACCTCTGGGGTAACCTGGACCATTTTGGTTCCAGGCTAGCACTCCCAAAAATGTACCTCACACTGACTGGTACTCCAGGGTCCTAGACTGTATAAAAGACGGTGTTGTAATACTTAAAGATTTTATGCTTTCCTTAGTATTTTCTGCTGGCTTTTACTTGTAAACACCCAAGGTTTTTCTTTTTGAGTTTTCAGCAATGGAATATTTTAATGATAGAAATGAAATGCTGTAAAATGAAGAAGACAGCACCTGTGAAATCAGGAGTGTGGATGTTTTGTTGTATTAAGTTTCCACCACTCAGTTCTGGTCTGTGTGTTATAATGGCACAAATCCACTTGGAAAAGTACAAGGCTGGAGCTTGTAAGCTTGGAAGGATCACTAGGAAAATGCATTGCTTGCAGGAAATGCTGCTGTGATTTTTGTGGTTTCTCCCACAAAGGTTTCTCTGTTTCAGTTGGTACTGGGTCAGTATTGGCACAATGTCAGAAAGCAGTGGGACTATGCTTGAGATGACAGGCAAACTCCCACTGTCCCAACACCAAGGATTCTAGTTTCTGCTTCATTTCTGACTGTGGGATCACTGTCTATATGAATTTGGTTTGAAATGCCAATACAGAGTGACAGTTTTTTTAATATGAGTAAAAGTAAACCTCTGTTCAATTGCACAGCACATGGTTCTTTGGGGTTCTAGCCTGGTTAAATACCAGCTTAAGTATTAAAACCCAAGGAGTTGGTAAATAAGAAGATATTAAAACTCCTGGAACTTTAAGTAGATGCTGACAAGTACATATGCTGTCTGTAGCAGTTTTTGCAGGAAAAAGGTTTTACTCCAGCCAGAGGTTCGAAAAAGCATGGGCTCAGAGGTTATCATTCTTGTGGAAAAATTTCCAGAAATAAAGTATGTCAAGCAAATGTCTCAGTCCCTGACTGTCTGAAAATGGCAGGTAGTGAGGTTTCCATACAATGATTTCTTTGTCAGAAGAATATTCCATATGCTGCCATAGCTAGTCCAGTTTTCTGTTTATGAATGGAGCATCAAAGGTGTGAGACTTCCAGTCACTGAGCCTGGATAAATAGAGGGATTCATAGAAGTAAGCCAAATCTAGACCTTGGTTAAACCCATGGAGGATTGCAATTGACTTGAAAGTGAGCACAACCTGGTCTGGAATGAATACCAGGCTGGTTGCAGCAGTATGAGCTTCCTCATACACCCCCTCCAGCCTAGGCATTGATACTCAAAGGGCTTTTCTACATGAAAAAATAGCAGTACTAAAGTTGTAGAAATATGAGTTTGGTTTTTTTTCAAATGCTGCTGGGAGAAATAATGCTTTGTAGAAGTTGCTGTGTCCTCATCTGATGGGAGCAGCAGCTCCTCTGAATGGCTCCTCACCTGTTTCAAAGCTACTCTGGTTAACAGAACTCTTGTGCTAGAGCTAATGTGGCCCCTTTTGGCTGGCACAGGTGAGAGGAGTTTAACTCCCAAGAGAAGCAATAGCAGTGGACTCAGAGCACAAAGATCCCTGGCCTTCTTTCCACCTGAGCTGCTCTGGGCACATCATTTCTCCATCTGCCTGCACAGTGAACATCAGGATACACTCTGCATCAGAACCTGTGTTGATGCTTAGTTTTGCCTATTAATGAGAAGTGTCTTTATGTGAAGCTTAAGGTATCTTAAGATAATTTATAATTTGTGCTAAACCACTATAAGCTAATGTGCTGGTTTGGACTGAGATGCAATTTATCTTCACAGTGGTTAGTGGGGGCTATGTTTTGGATTTGTGCTAAAGACAGTGGTGATAGTACAGAGATGTTTTTGTTATTGCTGAGCAGGGCTTGTACAGAGCTGAGGCCTTTCTGCTTCTCATCCTACCAGTGAGGAGTCTGGGGGAGCACAACAAGTTGGGCAGGGACACAGCTGACCCCAACTGACCCTGAGGGATATTCCAGCCCATATGACATTGTGCTCAGTCTATGAAAGCAAGGGGGACATTTGGAGTGATGGCATTTGTCTTTCCAAGTAACTGTTATGTGTAGTGGAGTCTTGTTGTCCTGGAAATGATTGAACATCTGCCTGCCCATGGAAAGTGGAGAATTAATTCCTTTTTCTTTGCCTGTGTGCATGGCTTTTGCTTTTCCTATTAGACTGTCTTTATCTCAACACATTTTCTGGTTTTTACCTCTCTCATTCTCTCCCTATCTTACTGGCCAGGGAGGAAGAGAGGCTGTGTGGGGCTTGGCTGCTGGCTGGGGTTAAACCACCACATATGTTCTTATATTCAAATATATTCACCTATATTCAAATATATTCACTTCCTTTAGACTACTTTAAATGTAGATGTTTCCCATGAGTGCAGCCTTGGCCTCTACAGTACCAATTAAAATTTTGATGAGGGAGAGGGGAAAATGACAATTTCTTTTTGCTAGTTCAGTCACAGCTGCTGTATTTCAATGATTGGCCATTGTGGTATGTGAAACTTGTTTGGAGGAGAAAAAGCCCAGGTCCTCCTCTGAAAGCTATTGGTGAACAGGATGCTTTAAGAAATGTGAACACATCTATCCAGATTTAGTTTCATTCTAAATGAAATTACCTGTTACAAAGCATACATATTAGAGAAGCAAGTGTTGGAAAAGAGGTTCTGGACCCTGCTCACAAAATTCCCAGCTGCCAAGTCAAGTTCGTTCCCCACCCAAGTTGTATAATGCTGTGATTCAGTGAGATAATGCTGTGTTTGCTATTTTTATTAGTGTCTTGGCAAAAGAAATATAATTGGAAAATGTTAGCCCTTTTTATTTTCCGTTTTTATTATCTTGGTTTTCTCTCTCTAAATGCTTCCATGTGAGCAACTTCACTCATCTTTAAAGAATGCATGTAGGGGAAAAAAAAGTTTATTGACGCCTTTAACTATTACTGCTTGTACTAGAAAAGGTCGACACCATCAGTCTCCTTCCTCTTGATTTTTTTGTGGAATTTTACTTAAGGAAAAGTATGTTTTATACAAAATGTTGTTTTTTTTTTTTTTTTGTTCTGTACCACCGTGTTTGGAAAGCATGTTTTCTGAAATTCCTGGTGAGAATAGTCAGGGATGGTTTGGGGTTTAAATCCGACGTTGTGCTGAAGGTTTACAACCTTGCCTTGACCCAGGATTTGGTTTTGCCGTGTCCAGGTCACCCGGTGCCTCGGGCGAGGCTGCGCTCCCGGGGAATGCCCGGGCTGCCCTCGTGGCGGGCGGAGTTACCTTTCCTACCCTGGGTTTGTGTTTATACAATGGGCCTCTCACCGGAGCCGCCTCTTGCTCAAACCTGCTGAGCGCTTTCCACCCGCGGCCGGTGCGGAGCTGTCTGTCCCCCCCCTGGGGCGGGTGCGGGGCTGTCTGTCCCCGCCTGGGGCCGGTGCGGGGCTGTCTGTCCCCCCTGGGGCGGGTGCGGGGCTGTCTGTCCCCCCCTGGGGCCGGTGCGGGGCTGTCTGTCCCCCCCCTGGGGCCGGTGCGGGGCTGTCTGTCCCCCCCTGGGGCCGGTGCGGGGCTGTCTGTCCCCCCTGGGGCGGGTGCGGGGCTGTCTGTCCCCCCCTGGGGCCGGTGCCGGGCTGTCTGTCCCCCCCCTGGGGCCGGTGCGGGGCTGTCTGTCCCCCCTGGGGCGGGTGCGGGGCCTGTCCTGCCGGGGCTCACCACGCCCCGCAGCTCCCGGCAGGTTTTTCACCGGCCGGCCCCGACCCTCCCTCGTACGGAGGCCGCGGCGGGGCGGGCAGAGTGAGCCGGGGCCGCAGCGGCTCCTCCTCCTCCTGCCGCTCCCCGGCACCGCCCTGCAGCGCCGGCTGCACCTGGGACGGGCGGTGGTAGCAGCGGCTCCCAGGACCTTCGGTAGGCGCGACCCCGCGGTGGGACGGGGTCGGGGCCGCCCGATGCGGCAGGACCGGGCCGGGGTTGTGGGCCGGGCCCGTGTCCCCGCCGGGACGGGATCCTGGGGCGGCCGGAGCTCGCAGGGTGACAGGCAGCGGCTCAAGGGCTGGCCGGGCGAGCTCGGGGCTTGTGGCAGCTCCGCCGCTGGGAGGAAGCAACTCCTGCTTCCTGGGGAAATGTGCTTTCAGAGCAGAGGGCATGTTTTGGTGTTGTAGCTGTAGTTCGGTCCTTTGCCTGTGTCCGTAGTTTATCTCGAGTTTATAATTTTGGTGTGTACAGTTGTCAGGAGAAAGCAGCCTAAGATGGTAGGCTGGCCGTTACGCAGTGCTTTTTTACTCCCCCCGAAGGCCCCTTTTTCTAAACTGCTCGTAGTATACTTTATCTCTTCTTATACCATACGTGCTTCGAATGTCTTTAAGGCAATTAAGTGTCTTTAAGTGTCTTCAAGCCATTTCAGTTGTCTTAAAACGGAAACTCTTCGAACTCTTGCTATGGTGTAGTTATATGTGTGACAGAACACAGCACAAATATCTCCATATTCAGAAAAGCAGTTCCTTCTTGTCCCCATCCTGTTTCTGTAAGGGCAGTAAGGCAGTACTTCTGTGGAATATATTTTTCTTTTAAAATATATTTATAGTAGTTCCTGGAAGCTTCTTCCTGTTAAGGAGGAGCTGTCGAGAAGTAACGTTCTGAAGGGAGTGGCAGAAGCACGGGAGGCATCTCAGCCCAGGACGGGGACAGATGGCGCTGGGGCAGAAGGTGTGGAGGGAGAGCAGACTGGCCAGAGAGAAGTGCTGCTGCGGTGTGTTTCGATGAAGGAGCTGATTATGGGGGTTATGCCCCTGAGAGCCCGGCTGCTGTCCGAGTGGGAGGTTCATTCCCTGATACCTCCCCCAGCATACAGTTATTTTCTGTGGAGTGAGTCAGTGCTTTACTGGAACACCCAGGGTAACATCAGAAACAATACAAACCCAGTGCAAGTGTATGGTTGCTGTAAAGCCTGAGTGTATGAACCCTTTCCCCATAGCTTGGCTATTTCTATAATTTCCTGTATTTTGAGTTGCTGTAAGAGTCATGTGGACCACTCTCCTCCCACTGATGCAGCAGATAATTTGAACTGAGTATTGCTTATGTGTTTGCCTGTAACCCTGTCCCCAGCACATTTCTGCGGAGTGCCTAATGATTTTAAGTCAACAATATTTATGATATTTTTATTCCTTTCTCTTGCCTGACCTTAGTATAAGGTCAGAGGCCAAATGTCTGCCTGGACTTAAAATTTCTGGAGTAGCCATCGCATTTATTCATATGATTTGTCACCACTTTAGCTCATTATTTATAGTCCCCAAAAGTTTTGAATTGTTAGACTGAGAACTCTGTGAAATGTCAAAATCACTAAAAATGTAACAAAACCAACAGTGGGATGGACCTATTTTATTGGGGGTGTTTATGTAGTCAGCATTGTAAAGACATAGTGTTAGGTAACAACTTAAAATACAAAACCTGATCTGCTATAAAAAATCAAGCCAAGAAGTTTGTCTGATTTGAAGGTTACAGGAGGTGCTGTTTGCTAAACCTCTAGCAAGTCTTGGAAGATGGAGCTTCCATAGGGTCTGTTCAATAGCACTGCTTTAATCAGGGCCAAGACAGAGCCAACCTAATTCTAGATCTGTGATAGCAATGGAGGTATATATAAAAAAAACCTAGTTGAAGCAGTGATGTGATTGAAAACAGCAGATAGTTGAATTGTGACAACAGAAATAGTAGGGCTTTTGAACAAACTGCAAGTTTCTTTTTAGCCAAGCCTCTATATAATAATTTGTAGAAACTTCTCTGTCAGTTTCAAGTTGTGCTTGGAGGCTTCCATTACATCAAATATTCAGCTAAGTAATGGCACCAGTGTTACTTCTTTTGTTTATTTCATACTTTTATGTTTACTACCTTGAATCATGTTTCCTATTGTATGTATTTTTCAAGTGTTTTATGTAAACTGTTGGAAATAAGGACAGGGACTTGTTAGCTGCATGCAGTGTGTTTTGTTTTGAGTTTCTTTTGAAGGTAGCAAAAGACTTTTTAAAGGAAAGGAAAAGGCTGCTTATTTACCCTTCAGTGAGCAGCACTTTCACCTATTTGAAACTTGAGTTGTCCCTTTACTTCTGCCAGTTTATTTGAAAGTGGGTGTGGTTGATACAAACGCTGAATTTCTGTCTCAGTTCTCCAAGCTGGGAAGAATGTAAAGCAGATAAGCAAACCTAAGAACAGCAATATGCATTTATTTTGTATTGCTTCTATTGTTGCTCTGTGCTTGTTCCTGATTTTATCAGCACTCGCTAGACAATCTTGATAAGAAGTTAGATCCTGAATGGGTAAACCTGGAATCAGCTATGGGACAGAGCTGTGGGACTCAGTGGTGTCCTTCCCAGAGACAATTCTGTCACATTCTTGTGTAATTCTTGCTTGGCAGCTAGTTTTTTGTTTGTAGGTATATCCATACTGTTCAGCGGTGACAGATGCTGAATGTGGAGCAGTGCCAGCCGTTAGATTGCGAATAAACTGAATAAAACAAACACAGCCCCACCCAGCTCCACTACCTGTTCCTGTGCAGTGCCCTGTCACTGTGCCCTCTGCTCGGTAGCAATGGTCTTGTTTGAGATCTTCAAAGACAGGGAACCAAGTGTGGCCTCCTTTTTTACCTTATGTGCTGTCTGTTTGAGAGAGAACTTGCTATCTTATTTGGTAAGGGAAGGTTAAAAATCTTTTGGAATTCTTGTTTTGGTTGGTTTTATTTGGTTTTTTTTTTCCCTTTTGCTGCAAAATGTGGGGGTGAGGGTTTTTTTGAGGGCATTGGGAAATTCTTCACCAGTAGGAGAGGTGGGCTTCCAATTCAGGCTTTTAGAACTTCTGGTGAGCTTAAGAACTGTCATCAGTTCCATATTAAAGATCCAGATGAGTTTTAATGCTTCTGAAGGTCTCTTTATTGTGCTAAACTTTACTATAGTCAATATGTAGTGAAGTGATACTTGCTATAATTAATTTCTGCACCCCAAAGACCTCTGCCTTGGCTAGAAAAACATGTCTGATTTTGGACTTTGGCCTAGTAAGTTGCTCTGAATTAAATGCTTTAGTTGCCTGAAGCAGACAGGCTGAATATTTCTTTTATTATTGCTAGAGATAACAACTTTAAGCTTGGGAATTTGCACTTATTTAGTAAACAGTGTGATCTATAGTCACAATAACTGGTTGTTTGCTATGCTTGGCAGTGTTTTAAAAATACTTGGTTTTCTATTAGCTAGGAGAATAAATATATCTTACAAATGTTAGGATTCTGGGGGAAAAACACTTCTCAGTAGTAAGCTTTGAGGACTAAAGCTTGCTGATCTCAAGTGCAGTCTGGATTTGAAAGCTATAGTCTTGCTTTCTTTTCACATCCCCTGTTAATGGTTGCTTGGAAATACTTGTCTATTTTACTACTCCAAGTTGGTTCTTGAATAATTCTGTTCCTGGAAAGAATTAATCAGCTGAAAATTACTAACTCCTTATAGCGTGGAGTGAGTGAAGGTTTGTCCATTTGCCCGCTGAGTCAGTAGAGAACATAGCTCAGACTATTTATAGTATTTTTTTTTTGCAATAAATGATTTTCTGTAACAAGTTATGAGTTTGAAATAGAAAAACCTCATTCCATTACTTCTTCAAACATCTGTTAACCTTAATTTGTTTTGGTTTTTTTTTTCTTGCTTGTTTTGTTGTTTGGAAGGTGTCTAACTGTATTGTCATAAGTATTTTGGCTGTACATTTTATATATTTGAAAGAGAGTGATGTGTGCTGCAAAAGGAAGAACTTTCATCAGGGCAGAGTAGGGATCCAAAATGAAACTCATCTCTTGGAATTAACTCATGTTTTTGCTGCATATAGATCTTGAAAGTCCATGCAGCTCAACTAAGTTATTTGGGTTTTGAAGCCCCTGCGTAGGGCTTCTGTCACTGGAAAGGCTACAGGAATGTTCTTAGTAATATTTGTACAGCTCAGTTGTAGCTTATGTGGGTGTGTCTTCCCACTCAGCTTTTCTTTGTTGAACATGGCATCTCTTCTCAGTTCAATTTTGGCTAAAGCTTGCAAGTGCTACCTTTCTCACCCCCTTGGCGCAGCAGGTCAAAGTGCTAGATTACTTACTGTAATAAAATAGATTATGATATTGAATTGGAAGGATCACTAAAACTGGCAGAGCTCCTGAGTCATAATACCAGCAAGCAATTCAAATGGATAGTTTTTAGAAAAACCTCATATATGAGTTTGTTTTTGTTACACCACCTATTCACAGTTGTGAGTTGGCTTGGGCTTTTTGTTAAGGAAGCTTTTTTTTTGTAGAAAGTAGATGATGTGTTAATACTCCTTAAATATACATTGTTGGATGAAATCCACTAAAAGTTTGTAAAGGTGAACAATGAGTGATAAGATCTGTGTAAAAGAGGTTTCCTGAGTGTTGGCTGGCATGAACTCAGCCTTGTTGGAAGATAAGCCCATTCCACTAAATTAGTTTTTTTTCATAGTGAAAGAAACGCTAGACAGGAGTCACATACACAGAAGACTTAATGATGAAAAAAATTTGCTAGACTATTTATCCATCAGGATGAAAAATATTACAACTGATACAGGAGAGAACAACTTGTATGCTGCAGTGCATGAGTCAAAGATAAATCTTGCTCAGGCTGGTAAATAGCAGTTAGCTGGTTCTGTGCTGACTGTGGTTTGTCCTTGTCTTGGAAAAGCACAGTGCTGGATGCCTGAGCTCATATCTGATGAAAAACAACAGCATATTGTAAGGTGGTAAATTCTGTTCTGCTGGTTTCACAATCAGGCATCAGTCTCAGAGCAGGTACTGTAATTTATACCTTCAGGCTGCTTTGTCTGCTATATCCTGGTAATTAACCTTGTGGAGGAGTCAAGGCCAAGGGTTTAACTTTACTCAGTGATCCCTGTGAAATGGGCATAATTAAATAATTTTGAACTGATAAACGTTATGGTTTTTCATCCTTTTTTGTTCTGAAGTTATTGTACCATGGCATAGCTGGAGCCTGAACAGCAGCCACTAAATAAATTCCAGGAATGGGTATGAATGCAGTGGCTGAGCTTATTGCTATTGCACCTTGAAACAGAACTTTTCTGGCAGCCTTGAAGTTTTCTGCTGTTATGGAATTTGTAGTTTTGTTATAAATTTTTCAAGTTGTAGTCCTTCTGTACTGTATCTTACAGAGGCATATTTTCAAGATTCCTGTTGAAAGTCTGTCACAGATTTAATCTTTTATGAACATGTCTGTTCCCTCTTAGCTTTGCAAGCAGCAGAAAAATGCTCAAGGGCCTGAATGGTTTATAGCTTGCAGTGTGAAGCATGATAGCGATGTTGACTGTGGGAGTAAAACCTCAGGTCTTTATTTAAAGTTCTGAGGTGGACCTCTGGGATTGAATACTGGGAATGGGGAGAGGACCTTGACAGTAGCTGTTCTTTATTTTCTTCAAGGCACTCCCTCTTGCCGTGTGTGGTTTTGTTGTTTGGATTTTTCCCTTGTCTTATGCACTACATTTTTTTTGACGGAGCAAACAAAGACCTTGCTGTTCCTGTGTCCTCCCACGCAGTGTTTGGATAGCAGGGTGGGTTTCCATATCTTCTGTTCCCTCGCCTGTGTCACCCCTTTGCTATCAGCAGACAAGTAAGAATTTTAGTAAAATATTGTGGATGTACCAGGAGAAAGTGTGGAAGATGAGAGTAGAAGATGACATGGAGGCTTGGTTGAGGGAGTGATTGGGAAAGGTGACTTCCTATGTTAATATTTCTAAATTTAGAGTATTGGCCAACAGAGGCTCAAAGGCACTGTGGAAAAGGTGGTGATCAGGGAAGTTTCTGAGCATGAAAAGTCAGTGTGTTTGCAGCTCTAGTTTGCCTGGAATCAAACCAGTCTGGGAAAATTTCCCCTTGGAAAAGCCCTGGATAAATACAGTGTTCAAAAGAAGCAAGTGGAACATTTTTATATAGAAACTAGCATTTTTTTCAGATTGCTGAATTTGGCTGGTTTTTTTCCTCAACCTCAACTTTCATAGCCAAAAGGCTCTTTTAATCTTGGGGGTTTTTCCAGTTTGAAATGAGCGTTCTATATGGGATTAAAAGCAATCAAACAGACTTGCTAAGAAAAACAAAACCTATCCCATTGCTTCTCACGCTCTACCACAGAAAATGGTTCTTTGCCTTAAAGTTGTATCTAAAGCTTTATTGAAAAAGGCATCTCACAATTTTTTTGAGTACCCTGTCATTACTGTATTTTTATGTAAAGCTAAAAAATAACTAAAAATATAATTATGATTTTACCTGAGGAAATTACACTAATTTTGGTGTTGTAAATGTACACATTGACATCATGCATGCTAAGAATCTAGATTGTGGGGGTTCTGTGGTTGGTTTCTGAGTGATGTGGTAATAATTGCTCTTTATTTTTCCATGCTTTATTACGCAAAGCCCATTTCTGAATGAGAGAGGCTCTGAAGTGTGCCAGGCTGCCTTCTGTTGAGTTTTTATAATGTTAGTTTTGTTCTGCTGGCCTCTCTGCCCTGCCATGCCCGGGTACCTGCCCGGAGGTGGCAGCGTGGGCCCACACTCGCAGCTCCAGCCTCTGGCATGGTGGGGCCAGGAGGGAGGAAGCTGCCGGCTCGTTTTCCAGCAGCAGAGGGAGAATACTGTGTTCTGCTTTTTCTTTCTCAGCCTCGTGAGTTTGGGGCCAGTCTTTGCATGGCTAAGAGCAGGCATTGCTTTTCTAATGCTGAGAGGCTGCATTCACGTATTTATTGATTCTGTTAGGTGCTACATACTGGAGCAGAAGTAAAGTAGGGTTGTGACTTTTAATGTACTCTGTTCATTGCAGTTTCTGTTAGTTCATTTCTTGCTCTTTAAATTTAAATGAGTATTGCAGCATGAAGTCCGAACGGTTTTTAAGTCAATTGCAGATTTCCTAATTGTATTTCCATATTAAAAATAAAACCACAAAAAAAGGTGTTTCTCCATTTCAGAGTTGCTATGCAATAGAGCCATGCAGACCAGAAAGGGAACTTAATGTGATCATGCAAAATGAAAACAATTTCACAAGAACAGCACCCCTGCCAACTCAAACCAAATCTAAAACAAAATTCCACAGCTGAAACCCAAAACACAGCAAAACATGCTAGATGCAAAAGGTAGTGCTTTAGGGGAAAGGGGAGGGGGGAATGGGATAATTCACACAGCAATTCTAAAAATAGAATGTGGCTTGTCATTAAAAATAGCCTTCAAAAAGTTAACAGTCGTTACAGATAGTTTTCTTCATAGTTACTTTTACCATTCTTCCTGGTAGCTGTTCTGTTTAAAATAAGGCCCTTGTATTCTGGAAGCCAGTTTTCATTTTGTCCTTCATTTAGCTGTTCTTCCTTTCTGACCTCCACTTCTATTTTGGACAGGTAATGACTTTGTACAGTTCTGTGCTGACAGAGGCACTATCCATTTTGAGAGACTCAATTTGTTCTAGTGATCTTACCCTATCAGTAAACCCTTCATATTTTATGGCAATGCTGTAAGCATGAAAGTGTATCCCTTCTGCTTCTTACTCTGACCTTGCAGTTTTGCAGATGTTTGCATTTAGGTGCCTTCTAACAGCTTCTTTTAGTTACTCACTTGAAGATGTAGCTTCTCTGTCAGATGATTTTCTACTCTTCATTGATAAGACAGTTCTGTATATGCTGGAAACTTCTGGAGGTTTCAATAGCACAGTAAAGGAAACAATTCAAATAGTACATCCCTAACAACATAATAGAGCAAGCAATAAGTAGCAACTGCAACAAATGAGAAAAATAGTGTGATGAGTGACTCTGCAACTGCTTAGCTTTCTGTTTATTAGTCAGGAAATGGGAAGAGGTTTCTAAGGGAAAAGCTGGGACAAAGTGTGCAGGTTATGTCTGCATTTTGGTAACTGGCTATTGCATACGTGTTGCCTCTTAGTTTTATGTGGTGTAATGAGTGAAGCATTACAGAAAATAACTGTGTCACACATACTTTGCATGTACATTTGCAGGTCTTTGCAATGAGTTACCCAGGCTATCCCCCAGCGGGTGGATACCCTCCAGCTGCCCCAGGTAAGTTGTTCAGATGAAGTAAACATTAAATGCAGTGGTAGTCCTATCTGGAGTGGAAACATGGCATAGATGAAGAACAACAATGTGGAGGGTTTCCTTGACTCCCCAAGGCTTTCTGTACTTGCTTGTTAAATCCTGTTTTATCTGGGCTGGGGATTCTGATTTGTCTAATATGTGTGTTCTGCCATGTGCTCATATTGTAATGTCCAGTTTCATTCTCAAATAAAGCACAGAGCATTAGGAAATGATCTTAGCTTGACCAAATCCCATATATGACAAAGATCAATGTCTGGTTGATACTGAGTCTTCAAGGTGGGTAGTGAGACAAATGAATATGGGGAGAAATCATTCATACAACTGGCAACCATATCCCCCAAAGAAAAAGGAAATTATCCTTAGTTCACTATTCTTAGGCAGGTGGTTGTGTACGAAAGGGAGAGGGCTGTTAAAAAGGGTAACAGTAATAACATAAACCTGATGAAATACTCAACCACTGCTTAGTTGCCAAGCTGAACTTCACAGTTCTTAGTGTTGTTGTAAGCTAGAAAGAAAGGACTGGAGTTATGTAGGTATGGTGAAATGTGGCATTAGGCTAGCTCAGGAAGGGGAAGCAGTGTACAGTGAGAAGCCCAACCAGCCAGGAGGATAAAGCCTATTTCTCAGCAGAGTATTCTGTCTAAAGACTATACTGCTGTGTGCAGACAGGTTATGACTTTGGTGCCTGGAAATGTACTGTTGTGCTCTGTGGACACCTCTCAAATTAGCAAAGTAAGTGGAATTAATATCTTGCTACTGGAATACCCAGACAACTTTGTACTTTAGGTGCTCTCAAGTCAAAATATGGTGTTAACAGTCTTTAGTGTTAACCTTCAAATAGGTTTAGAGTTGTTTTAAATGCGAGCTTACAGATTCAGTGATAACTGACATTAGAAATACCCAGTGAGACTTCTCTTTTTATAATAATTGCACTGCTACCTTGCACCTCTTCAGTTGATTTCCCTGATAGTGTTGAAAATACATTACATTAGAAATTTAAGTAGTAAGAACTCTCAAAAGGCATAGTTTCTTGTTTCAGCACATCTGTGTTTGATTTTAGGTAGCAGTCCTTGGGGTGGTGCTGCCTATCCACCTGCAAATCCACCTCCAATTGGTCTGGAAAATGTGGCTGGCTATGCCAACCAGTTCAATCCCAGCCACATGGCTGGAATGGTAAGTTTGCTTTCATTTAATGTGTTCTGCTGTGATGTCCTTAAGGGCAAAGTTGTGCTTCTGGAATTGTCACTGAGAGGTTTATCACTTGAATTCTGTGCCTTTGTGTCTAATCTGTTTAAGTGTTGAGCATTCAATATTGCCTATTGAGGAAAATGGGTACTGCAAGCTATTTCTTATTTTAGGAAAACAGAGCACTAGTTAAATGTTGTTAACAGTATATCTTCAGAAGTTGTGGGCATAAAACTAATATAACTTGGCATTTGCTGTGTAGAGGAATTAGCATGGGCAAACACAGTCTGGATTTTGCCTATTTACCTGGATTTTGACCAGAGTAAGGAAAAAAGCTGTATAATTAGAGGTATCAATGATTCATTCTTGAAAAGAATATGGGATCAACAGTATCTTACAAACACTGATGTTTAACGGATGGAAGTAAAAACCTTTTACATTGGAAATGTCTACATTTTCTTCAGTTAGTGTGATTTATTTTTTTTTTCATAGAGCAGAAGTGAGTGACACTTCTGACAACTTTAGTCTTCAGAAATCTGTTATGCTGCATAAGGAATGCAGTTTGTAGGAAGATATTTGCATCATAGATGTTTTTCTGAGGCAGTGATTAAATCAAGTGATTTGGCAGCCAGCAGGCAAATTGAACAACAAGCTATCTAGGATGCATGAGCCTATATCCACAGCAACTAGTTTCTGACAATGCTGCAGTCATCCATTGTCACTTCTGGTTTCTCTCTAGAAGAGAGATTCCAGTGATAAGATTTTGATGTGAAGTGGAATATCTTAATTTCAGTTTCTGCAGAAGTCTTTCCAAATATAGTCCAGGAACTCCTGCTAGTTGTAAACTACTAACACGTCGTAAAACAGCCAAAGGTTGCTTAAAGTCCTTGCATCCAGGTGCAGCCTTGTGATCACACAAGGCAGCCATGGGCAAAGAAAGGGCTATTTGGTGTAAAGTTTTAGACAGATTTTTCTATCCTGGTTGCTATCTTCTGCAGATAAAGAGCTATCTGTGTTGCTGGGAGGGAGGTTGTATTAGGCATGTTACTGAGACTCAGCTGTTGGTGCTCCTTCCTCTCTCTTGTTTTATTGCTGTCACTGCAGGCATCCAACCTGGCAGGAACCTTTGGAGGGGCAAATCTTCCACAAAGCATGTATCCTTCCACACCTGGGGGTTATCCACCAGTTCCTCCAGGTGGCTTTGGGCAGCCCCCTCCAGGACAGCAGCCCTCGTACGGAGGGTACCCTCCGCCTGGAGGAAATCCCCCCTCCGGAATGCCATCTTACCCGGGATACGGGGGCGGCCCTGTGCCAGGCCAGCCCACACCACCTCCTGCCCAGCAGCCCATGAGCTATCCAGGCCTTCCAGCAACTCACCCAGGGCAGCAGCCCATGCCAAGCTATCCAGCAGGTCCAGCTGTGAACCCGTCTATGCCTTCCTACTCAGGAGCTACAGGGCCTGCAGTCACTCCTGTAACAGTAAGAGCATTCACTGCTTTTCGATTGAGCTGTGACTGTATATGTGTTCCTCTGCATTTTCTTTGTGTGTATTAGTGTAAACCGATCCCAAAATTGAAAAGAAAGTTGTAAAAAAAAGTTTGAGTAAAGAGAGTGATGGAACCTTTCCAAATGCAAGCACTATGAGCTTATATGGTCTTGAAACAAATCATATTTTACCATGGTATCCATAAAAAAAGGATTGATATGAATTCAAATTAATTAATCTTGCCTTTCCTAACTTTAGCAAGTATTGCCAGTTGTATATACAGTATCATCAAACCTTAATTAATTGGAGAGCAGATTTAATGTCAGCAAACCTTGATGGTGAATTTTCCTGTAAATTGTCTCTAGAAATTAACAAATTGCTTAAGGCCAAGGTTGGTTTGAGTTTTCTTTATTACTTTTCTCACAAAAAGAAAACTGATAAGTGATCATCTTCCTTAAGTAGTAAACCACAGCATTTTACTATTTGACACTAATATGCTGTTAACACTGCTGTTGTTTAACACTACTGATCTCATTTCAGCACAGAAACCGAGGTACGATCACTGATGCACCGGGCTTTGACCCTCTGAAGGATGCAGAAGTCTTAAGGAAGGCCATGAAAGGATTTGGTGAGCAGTCTGAGGATTTACATTTCAGTTAAAAGTAGAACTGCATCTCCATTCAGCACTGATATTTTTCTATTGCTATATGTGTACTGAGCAGGACCGAGTGTGTACTGAGTCCTTGGTTATCAGAAGTACTACTGGAAGTTCATGTGGGCATAAACAGTACCATGAGTTTGGTGGAGTTTTTCTTTGTATTCTTACTGTGTTTGTCAGCTCAAAGTTCTGTGATTGTACACAAGAGTAGATACTGTAGATAAATTCAAGGCATTCATGTCCTTCTGCTGGGTTTCGAACAGGATGAAGTAGAGACAAAAGCTGAATCCTCACTCATTCTGTGGTGTCTGTGTGTGTACAGGAACTGATGAGCAGGCAATCATCGATTGTCTTGGAAGTCGTTCAAACAAGCAGCGGCAGCAGATAATCCTGTCCTTCAAAACAGCTTATGGAAAGGTAAGTACATTGTGAGGACAGAAGGAAGAAGAAATGAGAGCCTGTATCCCTTCAGTGACAGTCAGAAGACATAATGGTGGGAAAAAAAGATTGGAAGTTGCATTAGGGGAACATGTTTCTTGGGTCATAGCCAGTTCAGAGTTCTGCTTTTTACCCATGCTTGACTTCATGCAGTGTTGCAGATGAAACATGCAAAGCAGTTTCTATGCTAAGTGCTTACTTTGGCTCTTGGATCTGTGCAATCTATTTAATTGGACCTAAATGGCCTCAGTGTACAAATACCATTTTACTGTTTTAGTATTAAGTGGAATAGCTTTACTTTGAACATACATTACTGGTGCTTACGCATAAAGAATTCTTAGTAAAATGTGTATTTTTGGTGTTTGCTTTTGTCAGGTTTGGTCTTTATGCATTTTTCCTTGGTTTTCCTTCTCATTAGGATTTGATCAAGGATCTCAAGTCTGAGCTCTCAGGTAACTTTGAGAGGACAATCTTGGCAATGATGAAGACACCTGTCATGTTTGATGCTTATGAAATCAAGGAAGCTATAAAGGTTTGTGTAGGAGATACAAATTTACAACATAGAGGAAATAGTTGTGCTGATAAAATACTTGGTTGTCATTTACAAGTTTGGATTTATTTGAGATTACTTGCTTTGACTTCCTACAAGGTTTTATTCTGAATTTTTTTCCTATAAATTTGTTACATTTCTTTTGTACTAGGTTGTAGAAATCAAGAATCTGAAGTGTTTCTCCTGTGTTTGTTTTAGGGTGTTGGCACAGATGAAAATTGTCTCATTGAAATCTTAGCTTCCCGCAGTAATGAGCACATTCAGGAGCTCAACAGGGTCTATAAAGCAGGTTTGATCTTTTGCATCAAAATTTTCTTCCTTTTCTTACTCAATCACTGACTGCTAGTAAAAATTTAGGAAATGAGCAGAGTTGTATGAGGATTCATTACTCTCTCTTTTCCAGAATATAAGAAAACCCTGGAGGAAGCAATAAAAAGTGACACATCTGGGCACTTTCAGAGGCTTTTAATTTCACTTGCTCAGGTACCTGTCTGCTGGGATTTTGGAATTTGTTTGTTGTGTGTTTGTAGGTGGTGTGGATTTTTTTTGGTTTGGTTTTGGTCTTTTTTTTTTTTTTTTAATTAAAAAAAAAAGCAGCTCATCAAAGCCCACCAGTAACACTTCTGGATCTTCTAATTCTTTCAGGGAAACAGAGATGAAAGTACAAATGTTGACATGTCTGTTGTCCAAAGAGATGTACAGGTCAGTAGAGATTCTTCATTGTTTCTAAGCATAGTCAACTCAATATGCTGACATTTGGCTGTGTGGATTCTACTTACTGTTAATTATGGACACCTTGTGATGACTTCTGATGCAGTGCTCATCTTTAAGTGGATGGAAGAGATATAAAAAGCTGTGAGAGAGCATTAGGGCCATGTAGGTGCAATATAGAGATGAATTGGCTTTTCCAAGTGTTGGATTATGCTGCTTTCTAAGGAAATTGTCTGAAGATATTTGAGATGATGGGTGTGTGGATTAAATTTTAAACTACTCAACACCTGCATTAGCCTTTGCATGTTGTTTAAGGAAGTCTGGAGTTTTGCAGCAAATAAGGCACATGGACTTCATAATGCTTGGCCCATTTCTTTTTCTGTATCTTCCTTTCACTACGTAGCAAAGGGGAAACCCTGCATTGTTTTAGCCATACTAGTGTCATTTAAATAGTAATGTCATTAGCTTTCTATCTAGTGTGCCTTAGCCAAAGCACAAGAACGTCCCAGAGCACACCTAGAATTGTAGAAGGAAACCTAGATGTAAGGACTGTTAGGAAGAACAATGTCCCTTCCTTTAGTAATCTGGAGCACTTCTGTTTCAGCAAGCTAGGAAGACTGAAGCATAGCATAGGGAAGGTTAGAACTAGTTGCTATTCATTGCTTGCTCCTGTTTTGCAGTAGTGCATAGGCTAAGAAGTTTAAAAGGAGGAGAGGCTGCAAGGAAGCAAATCTGTAACTCAACTGTTCAGCCTGAGTGCTTTTCTGAGTAATAAAGTGTGAATTCCCTTCTGTGCTCAGGAGTTGTATGCAGCTGGAGAGAACCGTCTAGGAACTGATGAATCCAAGTTCAATGCCATTCTGTGTGCCAGAAGCAGGGCCCACCTTAGAGCAGGTAATGATGTCTATATGAACTGCAACTTGATTCTGTTGAGTGTAATGATAAAAATGTACAGCACTACTCTGTGCCTGAATTTCCTCCATCTGTAAAATGAGCCCAAAAAGATACCAATGAAAAGCAAGGTGAATTCTGCTGAGGAAAACAAAGAGTCACCTTTCTTAGATACCAGAGCAGGTAGAGGTCATTCTTGTTCAAATGATCTCTGATGAAATAATTGAAAAACTAGAATTGTTTCAGTCTTGCATACTTGTGTGTGCAAGACACTTGAAAACCTTCCCCTTTTACTTGCTAACATAAGGTGCTACATCAGTCTGTCGTGGTGGAAATGTTTTAGTAACTACATAGAACTTGTGCGTTGTGCTATTGGGGTGGGAGGTACTTATATGAAGAAAAGGGATGTATATGAGAACCTGAATATTTTCTTCTTAACTTTACTGAGACCTGAAACTTTCCTAAAAAATTGCACTGCTTTCTTGGTCTAGCCCTTTAATGAAAAGGACACATTTAGGCAAGCTAGGAGGAGCATGATAACATGTCAATGGTTGATAACAGTATTAATCCTTGAGATGTTCAAACTATTGTGAGTACACTGTAGTGTCCAGCTGAGAAGTGCCACTGAAATGAAGCCATCCAGCACATTGCAGTGCCACCTCTTGTTGTGGAGCTGGAATCTTTCTTTTCCATTTGCAGTCTTCAGCGAGTACCAGAGGATGTGTAACCGGGACATCGAAAGCAGCATATGCCGTGAGATGTCTGGAGACCTGGAGATGGGCATGCTGGCAGTAGGTATGTGCCACCTTAGCAAGGTCATTCCTGCTGTTCCAGTACAGCTGTCTCAGGTGGGGCCTCTGACTTCAGCTAAGGGTGTTCTTGTTAGTGGTAATTCCAGTTTTCTGCTTTTTTTATTGAGCTTTCTGTGAAGGCATTTGGGATTAGTAAAGTGGGGCACTTGACCTCAAAATGACAGATGAAGAGATGAAGCTTTTTTATTTCAGGCAACTGCAGAATTTAAATTTCACATGTTAAAATGGGGAACAATTCTATAATATGTAATTATTAACTATAATTGACACTGCTTTAAGAAGTGAACTTTACAAACTCATGGGTCAGTGAGAATGGAGTATTTAGAACAATTTTGGAAATCATTAATTAAAGTACAGCATTAACCCTCTAATTAGTTACTTCTACCTCTATTTAGTAGAAAGAAAACTTAAATTTCATTGCAAAAGGGTTTTTTTTCTCACATTTACTGTGGCTACAATTTTTTTAAATCTTTAATTGCCCCCAGTACTTCTGAGGAGTGAAACCTCTTACCTCAAGTCTACTGTTGTCTCTTCAGAAGCAGTAATTTGTTTCCATGAGGTTGGGACAAGGCCTCAAGTTGCTGTGCAGTAGTTTTATTTAAAATGCTTTATTATAGACAGAACTGTGAACCACTTTCCTGTCTTTTTTCTTTACGTCTCAATTTCTTTTTCTGTATATTACTGTAAATATATTGTGGTATCTAGAGCTCCTGCTTTAAAAGTGTCATTCTTCGGTTTTGGATATGGTAGTAATGGAACCAAACCCAAAAACTCCTACCAAAATGGGAAAAATGGACTTTGCATCACTTGGAAATGAGATAGAAGATATTTAGTTCAACCACAACAGATTTTTTTTTTGCTGAAGTTTGTAACAAAATCTTGGCAAAATGAAAATCAATTTTAAAAGCCTCATTTTTTCACTCCTGTCTTGTGCATGTGTGAAATATGTAACTACTGTTCTTATTCTGCTTGGCCACATTGTCATTGTACTGATCATTTAATGACACAAACTGGATCTAGCTCATTGTGTGTGATTGTTTTACAAACCTTTTCCAGGATTCAATCTTTGTCACCTCAGAAACTACTGTTAGAAAACCAAACTTAGGGAAAAGATATTTCTGTTTGTAGAAAAATATTGCCTTGGTAAAGAAACTGCTCAGCATTTAGAAGGCATTTGACTTCATGGAGCTTCATAGTGACTTGACAGGTCTCCATGTAGGTCCAGATTCACAACTGAGACTTTGGCTGGCAGACAAGTCAATATCCTTTTGAGCAAGGCTTGTCATTAATATTCACTGAATAATTCCTTTTATTAAATAGATTCTGTGGGGTTTTTTATTTATATGTACATATACATGTATCTATATCAGTAAGTTATATTAATGTCATTTGTTCTGTGGACCTTACTTGCAGGAAAAAAGGGGTTTCTAACTGAAAATATTTGATTTTGCTTTCTTTAAAGCTTCTGGATTGTACAACTGGTAACTCACAACAATATCTTTAAACATCTTAGAATGCAGGTGTGTTGTGTTAGCTAAATAGAGTGATACAGAAACATGCATTTCATTTTGTCATTCATTTTTGAACAGTATTGTACATATCATTGACAGTTTTGTGGTGAACTGCTATCTCTCATCTACATTTTCCTACTGAGAAAAATACTTCCTATACAGAATGTGTGTTCTATGAAAAACATGTCTGGGTTTACACCTTTAGTTCTGTATTGATTCTGTGGGATTGATTTTGATACCTTATTGTGCTATTAAATGTCAAGTGTGGTCTGTTTCCTCTGTAGTTTGCCACAGTTTGCATGATTGTTTACTTGTAACAACATTGCATCAATATATAGATTTTAATTCTGATCAGTGATGGAGGGTTCTTTCATTATCCTGATTAACATGACAGCAATTTGACTTAGATTTTGCTCTTTCAGATTTCTGATGAGCTATGCCAATTAAATATACCATCCAGTCATTACTAAATTAGCATGTTAAAAATTTTTCAGGAGTCTTGATGAATTTTGTGGCTAAAATAAGACTTTAAAATAAGGGTTGTGATGACTCACCCTTAAGGAGAAGGAACCACCTAAGATTCCCTGCTGTCATAGATGGTTTCCTAATTTGTCCTAGGGCAGGTCTTGAATTTGTCACACCTTGCAGATGCACGGCCTGAAAATTTAGAATTAAGAAGCCAGTAGCATTACTACCTATATATTACTTCAAGTCTTCTGCTCCCTCCTCATCCCCTCTTTTCCCTTCATAGACAAGAATCTGGTCATTAGAATTCAAAAGTTGATTATGGCTGCTTCACACTAGATGGTTTCTACTGACAAAAATGTTTGCTTTGAGCCATGCATTGTAGGCTTTTTAACTGTATTTCAGCTAGTGTTTGGATTAAAAAGAATTTCAGTGACTAATGGAAGGAGTGGAAGCTGCATAGTATCAAGTGTATGTTTATGTAAAATTCAAGCATGTGACTATGTTGGATAAACTCAAAAAATTACTGACTTCTGATTGAGGAGGAATGCCTTATTTCTGTAATACTGTTCCTCTGTTCCTTTTTGCAGTGAAGTGTCTCAAGAACACACCAGCTTTTTTTGCAGAGAGATTACATAAAGCAATGAAGGTAGGTGTCTGTGACAAGTTACATAAACTTACAGCGTGGAGTTTTTTTAAATGCTTGTACAGCTCTTGGGAAGGAAGTGTGCAGCTGAAGGGATTACATTTTTCAGTGGGCAGATGACTAACAGTCATGATGCAGTCATTATTATGAAAGGCTGGAAAAGTCTAGCTAATTTGATCCACCTTAACAGAGCAATGAATACAACTGTGCATTAAACAATAATCTTCACTTGGTGTAACACAAATATACTTAAATCATTGCAATTGATACTTTTTAAGTAGGGAATTCTAGCAGAACTAAATGAATAGGCCATTTAACTCACCAAATTTTCCTGACCCCGTTGTATCTCTGTCAATCCCCCTATTTTTTTTGAGCTGTTGTTGTGCAGAGAAATTAGTGTCCTACTGCTAAATGTAATTTATTTCAGCATGGTAGGCTAAATTCTGTTTAAGCTTATTAAGCTAGTGGGGTTATGCCAGCAAACAGGCATTTTCTTTTTTTTTCCTGGTGCTGTATCATACACTTTGCAGTGCATTATACTGCTGCTTTGTTTGTTTCAGGGAGCAGGAACCAAGGACAGGACGCTGATCCGCATCATGGTATCGCGCAGCGAGGTTGACCTGCTGGACATACGTGCAGAGTACAAGCGGATGTATGGCAGATCCCTCTACTCAGACATCACTGTAAGCCCTGGAGACCTTCCTTGCCCTGCCATGACAGCCCTTATGCTGGCAGAACACTGCTCCTTGTGCTGAGCAGCTGTTACCTGCACTGAGTGTGGCTGGCTGGGTTGGATTGCTGCATTTGCCAGGAGCATGGAGGCTCAGGGCCAGAGGATGGAGAGCACTTGGGTTTGCATGGAGGCTTGATGAACTAGAGATGGGGATGAAGCTAACAGGCAAGGAAGGAAAGGAAAATTGGTCCAGAGGAGTTTCTGAGGCCTCTCTGTCCCAGTCTCCTTACATAATCTTGTGGGAACCACTCAGTCCTCCAGTTGAGTAACAGAGGTGCTCTACTTCATTTGTGTATTGGAAGAATATAAAGCTTCGAAGAATCTAAAGAATTGCCTCCTCTTTCTCTTGAAAGTACAAGACTTTGCAAATAGATTAAACTTCAGATTCATTAGCAGTTGATCCACCTTCCTATTGCTATTTAGAGCTGTACCAACAGCCCAGACTCTGGTTGCCTGGCCAATGGTAGGGTAATAAGAGCTGGAGGAAAGTGAGTGGTGCCACTTTTATTTACCTTGTAATGAGAGTGCCAAACCTATTAAGCCCCTATTTATTCCTTCTGCTGTGGACACTGCGGGCCTGTAACTTGGTAGTGTTTGGAAAGAATCCTGTAGAGATCCTGGAGGATAGCATGTTCCAAGTGTTTCTTCTACAGTAGTTGCATGCCCTGTAACCACCAATGTATGAGTAAAAAGCAGTGAGACATTGGTGAAAAAGCTCTGTATTGCTTCTTCACCGTGTTCCTCTTTTGATCTGGCATTGTAATTTATCATTCAGAAGCAGAGCAGGCCAAATCTATTTAATGGACAATTTTTGACCAAAACTTGGCTTCAGTAAATATGGGGTCTGTATATCCACATATGTAAGCTCTGCTGCTTATTTCTGTAAAAGTAGAGCCAAAAATGTCTCTGGAAAGAAAGTTCTTAGTTTTTCAACTGTAGCTTCACCTCTTTTGGTTATTCTTCAACTTTTCTTTTTCTGGGTTCCTTTTCAGGGTGATACTTCAGGAGACTACCGGAAAATCCTACTCAAGTTGTGTGGTGGAAATGACTAAATGGAGCATTGAGTTTTTCTTAAAAAAGCTGCTGCAGAGCATCTTTTTTTCTCCATAAGTAAATATGTAAACCCGTAAAACCTGTTTCTTCTAAAGCAGTTGCATTTTAAAAGAGAATACTACATATATCTTCAGTTCAAAAGTAGTAGGTAATAAATGCCAAGGCCCCCCAAAATACCGAGCTTATGTGCCATCTGCTCAGGATTCTGTGTAGTACACTCAGCAATACATGAATGGTCATTATTTCTTTTCTGCTTATATCATGTTGAAATAATGTTTGTTTAACAACAATCACAATTGTATGATTTTAAGGTGTTCTTTTGTATAAACATTGAGTGCCATTTTAATGCAAGTTTTATATCTGTTGTATGCAGAGTTGGTTTTGGGCTACCACTTCCTGATATGTGGAGATAGCAGCCTCGAGGTTTTGTGTCTAGTTAAGGCTGCTTTAAAAAGTTTTGTCCAGTTCTGTTTCTTTACCTTGATTCTTTTCAAGGAAGTTATGTTCTACATTCATTCTTGCTAAGGCAGACTGTCACAAGGCAGTAGTAATGTTGACAGTAGTCAAGATTCTGTCATTATTGTTTAAAGGTTTTGGATTGTGCCTTAAATATATATATATATGTAAGAAGAGATTATGAAATTAAAGCTAAGTCTTTGCAGACTGTGTCTTTTGATGTCATATTGATGTATGTGAGTGATGACTCAGTTTATGTAACTTAGTTTTTCCATAGAAATTCTCTGCCACAGGATTATTCAGAAAATGTTGTTTTGGTAAGAGTTAGGGAGTTGTGTGCTGTTGATGAGCAATTGTCTGTACATGAGACATGTAATCTGTAGTTACTGCTCAGTATTTTCAGTTTGCATGTTGTAATTTCTCTTACTCTTGGAACTCTGAGTTTTTATTCCCTGCTAGCATGGATGACATCTCTTCAGCTCATTGTTCTCAAAATAAAAACACATAAAGGTAAAAAGTACAAAGTGGGGGAAAGGTTTCCAAACTAGGTCACTGAAAATAGATTGCTTGTTAATCAGGAACGTGCAACCTCCCCTTACTGAAGTACATATATGTAAGTGTTCTCCCTCTGTTGTGTAAGGGTCAGGCAGGTCCTTTTTCCTAGAAGCTGTATTGCTATTTGTCTTGAAAGAAAAAGGCAATGTTGTGGATTTAATTCTGGATTGCATTTGTCACCATGGCAAGGGAGGGGAATGTAAAGATTATAGAATATGGCAGCCATGTGTCCAAGTGATGGATTCTGACTGGGACTTGCTGGCAGGACTCTCAGTTTGGTCAATGGTAGCAGTGTGTCCTGTGTCCAAAGGCAGGCCATACACTTATTTCTGTCAGACAATCTGAGCATGTCTTGAGAGGAGTTTGCAGCTGGAAGTCTATCTTTGTTGGCTGAAACCAATAGCAAGGGTTCACTTCCTTGCAGGGGAAGGAGGAAGCTTTTGAATTAAGGGACGTTTGTTAGCTGTGCTTTAGTCCTGAACACCACCTGGTCTTGTTTTCTTACTGACATTTGAAATGCAGTTTTGATAAAGTAGGGCACCTGAAAGATTTAGAATGCAAAGTTTAAAACTGTGTCTGAAAGCAAATACCTTTTTATTATAAAGCACAGCAACACAGAAGACAAACTACAGCTGAGGGTTGTTCACCCTGCGTGAATTCTGGAAACACAAGCTTATTAAATGATCAGAAGTGCAACTGTTTATGACACCCACACTGTTACATTCAGCTGTCTTCTGTCTTCACAGTGCTCAGCTGGTATCTGTATAGAGAAGAGTTGATGTGATTATTTTTGGTTATGAGATCAGGATCAATCTTAGTGGATAAATCTCTTCTAAAACATGAATCTTGCTACTCTAAAGTGGGAAATTGTCACTTTGATGCACAAAATCATAGAAGAAAGGTCCAATCTGTAATTCTTGAGCAATTTGGCAGTTGTAGCAAGATCCATCTGAATAGTACTTGCTATAGATTTGCTGCAAATGTGCTGATTTCTGTTTTAAATTCACTGCAGTGCTTTACTGGAATATTTTTCACTTTTACTGGGATACCCCCTTACATTGCAGGGGACTAACTTAATTGTTAACCTGGTAGCTGCCCCTCACAGAAAACCATAAACTTCAATGGATAACAAAGTTGGTGAGGATAGTATCAGTCATGGTTACCAGATCCATACAGCCACCTGCAAGAACCAACAACCAGCATAAACTCTGCTGCTGTTTACTTCAAGCCTGCTTCCATCATGTAAGTGCACTGTAGCATGTCCAGGTACAGCTACCATAATGAACAAACAGCCCAGCATTGACAAAACTGACTTTATAAGCATGTCTGTGGATGCTTTTATCTGTCCACAAGTGGTTTATTTTCCACCAAGAATGTCTCACCTTGTTAAATGCACTGTTGATGTTTAGGCAGACGATGAAGAGCATAGAGCATTATAAGAAAGTGAGTAGAACAGGTGGTCTCATCCAACTAATTTCTGTTGTGATTTAATTTATTCCAAAAGCATTTATCCAGGAGCATCTTTTGTGTGAGGGGCTTGCATGTCAAAGTTGGATTTAGGATATCAAAATGGCAATACCTCCAATTTTGTAAAATTTTGATGCCATCCTGTATTTTGTCACACATGAAGTTAAGGAATCACAGGATCTTAAATCTGGAAAGGACCTTGAGATTACCTAGTCTGTCCTGCCGTTCTAAGGGGAGTTGCTTCCTTTGCTCCCAGCCATCTCTTCAGAGGTTTTTGAGATCTGGTTTTCTAAGCTGGACGTGCAATTGGGGTCCTGAGGCCCCGAGTTCTGAGGCCTTACTTACTCTGAGCTGAATTAGTTCACATCTTTAGAGAGAAAATATGGCATATGTAATAATAACATATGTAGCCCTTTTTTCAACTTAGATTATACCTGACGAGATACTGACCATCAAAAATGTCTATAAGTGGAGTTCCTGGAACGGTGGGGATATTCACTGTTGTCTCACTGATGATGTTGAGGAGTGATTTGACTTCCGATTCTAGGTGCTCCACTGTTTTTATTACCTTCTAATGGAAACAAGGGAGACAAATGGAGGAAGGAGGTAGTCAGAGGGTCAAGTGGAAGGAATTGCACCAGATGTGTTTGCAGAAATGCAAACCTCATATCCTTTAATGCCAACAGCTAATTTAATCTGTAATGCGCATTGCAGGTTTAAACATTGCTTGTGTTCTGCTGGCCTCTAGTGGCACCAAGTATTAGCACTCGGTTTTGCAAGAGTAATGTTAACAGCAGCCCTGTATAAAGAAGAATTTAAATTCTTGGAGCTTTCCATTAGTTTGTTTTTAATTCTTTCTCATTTCTGACGGAAATGCAATTTATTAAATGCAATAAAAGTATCTACATGGGCGATAAGAGAAGCTGATGGGGTGTAAGGATGAGGGCTGGGACTAGGGCAGAAGAGAGGTCATGTTCCCATTTGAGAACCACAGCATGATATTTGGGAACTACCCAGCTGAGAATTAACAAGTTAGTTAAGCTGAGTTAACAGGTATCTTGTGATACGTGCTTAAGACACCAGGGGGGAAAAAAAAATCAAACTTTGCAGCTTTCCTGGAATCCCCATCATAGAGCTCATTTAGCTCTTAAGAGTCAGCTGGAGTGAGCAGGAATTCCTCTATCACTCTTGGAGTCACCTGCAGAACTCACTTCCCATAAGTCAATGTGAATCTTTACAAATACAGATTCTGAGATTTTTATATTAAAGGCACAGATTAGAATTTTTAGATTATAAACATTCTAGAAAGGGCTAATATATAAAAAATTGTTAATCAATTTTTTGGAATTCGTCAAGATTATATATTTCTGGTGATAATGGCTTTATGGATAGTTATAAACTATGACATCTGAAAAAAATAGTCCAACCTTGACTAGAATAAAGTCAAGAAGGGACACTGTCTAGAAACATCCTTTTTCTTTGGTCAAAAGGATAGGGCAGAGGTCTGGTGAGGTTCAAGAGCCAGCACAATCCCTCTTACCTCTTCAATAATATCTAAGCGTTCGTGGAGCATGTGTTCATTACACCAGGTTCCTGTTTCCAAAATTCCAGGTGCCATGGTGACAGGATCAGCAGCAGCTGGAAATAGAGACACAGGTCATTGGCAGAGGGCTAAGAGCAGTCCTTGCCTTTCTGATTTCTGAAGTGGTATCTTGCATGCTACACAGCATTGTTGATGAACCAAATGTAGGATTTGAACTTCTTTTCCAATCACTACAGCTGTGCCCTAGTAGTTGACTGGACATGTCATATTGGTTGGAACAAGGTCTTTTCTCTTGCCATGGGTGTTTGTTTTGGTTTGTTTTTTGTATGTTTGTATTTGTTTTACATAATTTTTTTTTTCCTACATGTGTAGGGTAAGTTTATAGGCTGTGACTCTCTCTCAGGTGTCAAACCTAACTGTTGGGAAGATCTGCCTAACACAGCAGTTCCTCATAGACTTTGTTCAGAAGCAACTGGTGCTGTAAAGCTTTGAAAACTAGCTAAGCTTGTCCACCTTGCAAATGGATGCTGATGGTTCCTCTCTGCCAGAAGGTTGTCCCAGACAGTCTGACTTTGCAATGGGAAGGGAAACAATAAAAATTGTTTTATTGCTGAGCACGTTTGCTGACTTTGGTATATACAAAGTCACATTTCTCTGTCAGTTATCTATGTTTACCTGTCACTACTCATGAGCTCCTGCTCTTTGAACTTTTCATTCTGCTGGCTGTGCTCCATGAAAGATCAGTAGCTGATAGTGTCCATGCTTTAGTGGAGCCTGTTTGCTTTTCATAACTTCTGTGCAGCATTCAGTAACAATTAAATTTTCAAAAGTGTGCAGAGGACTTTAATGGAATATTTTAAACTCTGCTAAAGTGATAACATATCTTCCTGCATGTAAAGTTAGGTTTTGCTCTTGTTTGATGCTTGAAGCAGCTGTGATAAATGAGGAAGCAACAGTAACTCATTCTGTCATTGTCTGTAACAAAGACAAAACTGAGCTTGTGTTGTAATGAACAGTAAGACACACAAGAGCAGTAACTAATTCTGTCTTCAGTGCTGCTGTGCCAGAGCAGTGGTTTGGAACTGCTGCAGTGCTTCATCTCAAGCCTGTGCCAAGATTTCTGGAGGGTAGGTGTCAGGTGATGGCAAACGTGTCAGTAAGGATCACTGCGGTTTGGAGACCATAAGAGATGTACTCTGAGTTGGAATGGCATCCTTGGAATTGGGAGGTGGAGGAGAGATTACAAAGTAACCTGACTTACGGGGCATTATATAGAAATTGGTTTGGCAGAGATTTGGTTAGGGTTTTTTTAGTGCAGTACCAGAAGGTGGTGCTGTTAGGACAGAATCCTGAAGACTTCATCTACCTGTTTACAGAAGTGTGCTGAAATAGAGCAGGCATTTCAACACCAGCTGCTTTGCAATTACCCTTTTTACCCCCCTCTTTGCTGCTAGTGGTGGTGGTTTATGAGTCTTGTTACTGTCTTAGTGGTCAAGCAAACCGTGCTATTTCTCAAAATTTCTGCTTCTTGACATGTCTTTTTTTCATCATGACTGGAACAGTGTGGAGATACTGAAATTGTGGTGGCTGATTCTCTAGTCAGGTGTTTGTAGGTGGGGAGGTTAGATATGATGGACTGACAGTTACTCAAAGCACATGTATACATACCATGACAGGGATGTACAGCCAGTGTAAGATTGTTGCATCTTACTGTGAGCTTAGCAAAGCGCTGCACAGCTTTGTGTGCATCATGTGTACACACACACAGCTTTGTGTGTACCTGGAGAACGAGTTAAAGGGATTGCTATGGGACACAGGACTCAGTAGCTCCTGGTTCCTTGGGTTCCTCTCCTGACCCAGGAGGCAGCTTTCCATCGCTCACAGCGCTTTGCTGCCTTACCAGCTGTAATGGCCATACTGAAGGAGGACAAAGTCCTAGTTTGACAGGGCTGTAAGATATCGCTCAGAACCACAGAATTAGTGCAGTGCCTAAAACTTTGACAAACAGGCCGAGCCTAAATGTCTCAGGAGGCACCTGACAGCTGATGTTAGTAAGGCTAAGGGTTGGTATAAGCATAAGCATGTCTAGTTGTAGACTGCACAGTATGGAGCTGTGAGAGGGCTGGGCTAGGAGAAACCCTCTCAGGACCTGCATGTCCATGTCTTGTTAGTGACTTTCACACCAGAACAGACTGCTCCAGCTCTTGCAATTGCCCCTTCACCACCACACCAGAACAGGCTATTTCAGCTGCCAGTGGCTGGGCAGTCAGTGTAGATTTCTTCTTTTTCTCAGTCCTGGCTCGAGGCTTTGGCTTCCCAAAGCATTCATTGTTATTCTGTTGTTTGGCTTTACCTCTTAAGCCACAGCTCTATCTCTGGGATGGGTTGTTCACATGACACATCCGGTCCCTTGTAAATATGGCACATATCTGGGTCACTATGGTCAGGCAGTTCAGCCAAAGCAGTAATTTCCATGTGCTCAAAGAGAGCACGTG